ATAGAACAATCTTTATTTTCATATATGAATTTTTGCTTTTTATGCTATTACTTATTGTAATAAAAAATATCAAAGTTTAAAACAGCTTTAAACAGTCGAATACGGGTGCCATTATGCTATATACAGTGTGCCGTAAGTGTTTATGTGGCAGTTGTAATAAAAATAAATTGTTCAATAGGTATTTAGAGTAGCATAAAAGTAACTTTGCAATTAAAATTTTCATTATAATGAAATTAATTTTGAATGCAAAAGTTCTTTTTTTTTTTTGTATTAATATATCATTTAAGTCCTTACACATGTATTGTATAAACTTATTAATGAACAAAATTAAATTTGTAATAGCAATGTTATACACAAAACAGTATATCTAACAATAAAAATATACAAAAAATAATTTTGTTAACCAGTAGCGTGTTATTCTATGGGCAAAAAATGCAATTGCCTGGGTGGGCCTCCCTAATTCAGATTCAAATGGGCTTTGTAAAGCTATAACATGCCACTGTCATTAACTTATTTCAATTTTTTTACTTTGTTTTATGATTCTTTCAAGTTATGAAAAGTTATGAAATAAGATTTTGGCTACATATTAAGATTTTTGGACTGCAATTTGTAGACCTATAAATTCTCGATCTGTCTTTCCTTAATTTTGAGAAAGGAACCTGACACGGAAACCTTAAAGGCAGAAGGCCCCAATTAACTATATAAAAACTTCCGATGCAAATCGGAAGTTGCGTTATTTCAATAAAAACTTCCCCTGGAAGGTGTTAGAGATATGACTGGCATAACTGCATTGTTAAAGAAAAAGTGTGATGTACAGGGGCAAAGCCACTACTAATTTGAGGTGGAGAGGATATATTTTAAATTAAAAATTGCAGCCCAACATTGTGACAATGTCACAATAAATAATTGCTTGTTTTTAAAGAAAACTATTTGGTAAATAATATATTATGATAGACTCACGTTAGCATCGCTAGCTGTGAAATAGTCTTTAAGTATTGACGTTAACCAATAGCTGACCAATGGTCAATTTTGTCCTCAGAGAAAGTTATACACCATATCAATTGTTAAATTTCACTGTATACTTCATTTTAAAATTGACGTTTCTTTTTTCTAATAATTTTCATGAATTTTATCATCACAATCCTGGAAATAATGTCATGTTAATAAATAATTTTGCTGGTAAAGTTTTAAAAATTATATTTTGTTCAAACAGTAATAATAATTCTTACAGTTAATGGAAGGGACATCACCATTAACTAATATTATTTAGTATGATGTATATACTTTGAACTAGAAAAAAGGTTAATGGTAGTCATTAACTTTGTTTTCCTACACCAGGGTTGGAGAACCTGTGACATTTTGTGCTTTCTAATGCTACCAGACAAAATATAGTGTGATAAAATTCATGACATGTGCCCATGCTGCAGCATTCTTGTCAACAGCTTTCTTTACATTGATCCTTCTGTAGACATAGTTATCAATGTTGCAAAAAATAATCAAGATTCAGCCTGTACAGTATGGATTATTCCAAGAACAGCTGCAGAACAGCAGTACAAAGTACTCAACTTGCACATTTTCCAGTTGGGACTCAAACCAAGCAGTTGTCATTTGACAGCTGGACTCTACTTTTGTTTCATCTTTTAATCCAGTTTACAGTTCAACTATTTATTAAAAATGCTCTGCATCATTCAATCTTGGCAGTTTGCAGTGTGTAGAGTACACATTGTTCATATAATACAAAATGCTCTTGATGTTTTTGCAATGATTAAGGGTCTCACATTCTCCATATCCATTTCATGTACAGTGGATATCAGTACGTGATCATTATTAAGATAAAAGGGATGAAAGAATGCAGTGTAGTGTAATGTGAGATCATTTCTTACCTGAGGTACTGCAATAAAACATGGCAGTAAATCACTATTTAGAATTTTTGCTTCCTCTGCAGCAGCCCTGTTTCATCAGGATTGAAAATGTAATCTGTACTGTATTTAAAAATTGTATCTTGTCTGTAGGCCATACACATGCTATGTGCAATGAAACAGCAATGTTTCTCTGCATAAAGATTTTGAGATAATTCTACTTTTCACAAAATCCCTGTAAAAAGAAGGAACTGCCCATGAGACAGTGGCATGCTTGAACATCTTGAAACCAGATGAAAATAACTTTCCGCACATCCTCAAACTGTGTGCTATGCATTTTATTCCTGCTGGATTCAACATTAGATCTTTTTAACTTTTTTCAATGTTGAATAAACTTTTAAAATCATTTGACAGAATGGAAAGGGTGATGCCAAACTCCCTTGTAACATCTAATTTTTACTCAGAATCAACTTTTGTAGAAAGAAGCATTTACTTTGGCATATTTCATTATGAAGTCTGACAAGATTACTTTCAGTGACTGATGGATCATAACAGCATAGTAATGTATATTACCCATTTGATACTAAAGTAGTNATGGATTAGGTTTTATTTCTGACTTTATTCGCTATGTTTACAATTCACCAAAATGTAATTGGGGTTCCATAATACCACCTTCTCCTCTACCTCGTTGGCTGTTTGTTCCTCACTTCGCTCATCAATTCTCATATATTACATCGTTGTTATAAACCAGGGGTGGCCAACAGTTTTTGCCCTCGGGCCGAACCGGAGGCTGCTCTAAAAAGTTTATGAGGTGGTGCGAGATCTCATTGTGGTGTCACCCCGTAGAGACTAAATTCTATATAGAGATTACAGATACATTTTCCACATTATCAACGTTTACGCTTTATCAACGTTCTACGCTGTACTTAAGAGATTTGTAATGGAGGGTTAACTCTAACCGGACAGCGAGTTGCTGGCCTTTTTTTTTAGGCGTTAGAATCTTTACATATATAACCCATTCAACGGGTGTCTGTCCCGTAACCGTTTGATAACGGACACTAGAGGCGCCCCTATCGTGTGTCATATTTCAAACATTTAAACATTTAAATTAACAATTTTAATTCTTATTTAAATTAATAATATAAATTTTTATTATTCATTTGGCCAATAAATTATTATTTGGTCAATATAACAATATAAATAATTCAGTATATTTGTAATAGGAATTTATTATTTTAGGGGCTTATATCTCTCGAAGGGTCACGAGTAGGGGTATGGTTCCTTTGACTTTATTGTTGGTACAGGGGTCTACGGTTTGGGGGTCTCCACCTCTTCATTCGGAGGGTAAGTCTTACCATTCGGACTTTAACAGAGCTGTAGAGCATATTGATAGGAACAAAAAGGTCAAAGGAACCGTGCCACGTGGAAAATTGTAAAGAACGCCTACTAGGGGGCGTCCCGAGCTACTAGTTTTACACTGATCTATTCTGACTTGAGTAGCTAATATTGAAAGATTAATCGCGGGCCATATAAATCTACTACACGGGCCACATTCGGCCCGCGGGTCGTATGTTGGCCATGCCTGTTATAAACCCTTCCACTAATTCGGTTTTTGTTTTGAGGTTGTTTGATGGTCCTCTGAATTATAGCAATGCGAGTGAGAAATGTCTGGCAGACAAGTCGGTCATGAAGCTAAGTTTAAGTTACAATGGTTTTTGTGTTTCCAATAAACAATACGAAATTTTGTTTTCTTTAAATTCTTTGGAAATAAGCCTAATAAAATTTTAAATAGAATCACACATTTACACGTCCATATAGATTTAAAATTTCAAATCATTCCGTGTTTAGATTGTTAACGGGTTTAATTATGTTTTACTGTGCAAGTTATTCTATTACAGTCAGCCACCAAGAGGCGCTTCATGTAAAGGTTATGTTCTGTAGGTCATTTCAAAATCGGAAGATTGTTAGTTACTGGTTTTCTTTTCTTCCATTTTTAATAAAGTTATTCACTTTAGTTATCTCTGCTAATTAAGTCGTGGAAAATACTTTAAAATTTTTGGAAATTTGCAAAGAAATTTAAATTTTTATGAATGAAAAGGACCAGAATGTTCCTAAATTATATGATGGACACTGGTTTTTGGATTTATGTTTCATTCCAAATATCACAATAAAATTAAACGAACTTAATAAGCAACTTCAAGGTGAAAACAAATTGATCACAGACTGTTATCAAAATATAAAAGCATTCATAGAAAAACTCAAACTTTATGAAAGTCAGTTAATTAAAATCAAAAATTACAATTCATCGTCCAAAATTACATAAATTTAATAGTGACAAAAACATTTTTCTAAATATGCACAAGAAATTACTAATTTACTAAGAGAATTTCAAAAAAGATTTTCATATTTAAAAATTTATGAGAATATATTTAACCGATGTGACGGTTGATCGGGGGTCGGATAATCGATGCTCTCCTGTAGTTAGTTAAAAAACAAATGAGTTTTAAGTTTAACATATTTAGATTTTTACAGCTATGGTGAGAAACGTTTAAACTTTATAACAACCCTGTCTCGTCCTTTGAGATATACTAGTGATGAGACAAAAGAGGCATTTGACATTAACCGGTATCGGCACCCTCGGGATTTGGCAAGCATGCACTCACCGCACACCTACCAAGACCGTTTCTGATTCCATCCACGAGGCACTGGTAGGGAGCAATTTTAACTAGGTGGATTGTTTTAACATTTAAAAAGTAAAGAATATTTTATGTTATTTTTACGTACGTTTCTTCACAAAACTATATTTAATTATAATTTTCTTTAAAAGTATATTCACACAATTGAATATTTTGGTACCCGGTATGTATAATTGTATATCCATCACACATTTTATTTTAACAAGTAAGTTTTTATAATTTTATTTTTAATTTTAGCCCTTATATTATGGCTAGCAATTTAGAATGTAATTGTGATATTGAAAATTTATTTCAAAAAGTTTTGGTTCGAGACCATATAATGAAAAAGAAAACATTATTAAAAGAGAAAGACCAATGCCTAAATTAAATATAAATACGTCAACAAAAGAATTTGTTCGACATTTTCACGATAAAATTTATGAAGATATAAAATGGCTTNCGATTTTAAACTTCATCAACCGATTGAAGAGATGACAATACAAGGCATGGTTTGTGCGGAAACTGGTGTTAGAAATGCCATATCTTTCAGCAGTATTAGTGGCGATGCTACTGCCATTGATCAGCAATACACTCGCCTAAAAGTTTTTGTAACTGAAGCGTCCGAACCATTTAAATGTGAATTAACTTATGTTCTATTTCCTATGTTTGTTCACCTCTATTTAGAATTGATCAGCAATGGGCAAAAGACTGCTGCTCAAAAGTTTCATTCCCGACATTCCGGTTTATTTGCAAACGTTCAGAATTATAAGTTAATTATTTCGACTCTGTCGTCCATTCAGACTATGCAAGATCTCTCTACGCATCCCACCATAAAAGATTTTAGAGAGAATAAACATACTATTTGTTTGTGCGAAGATACACTGGAGTATCTGATGAGATTTTTGAGAGATACGGATAATATCATTCTTCTTCAATTGTTTAATCTTTATATTGATGTAGAAGTGAATCATAGGGATTACAACACTAAGCTTCATCTCTACGACGATCGTCAGTTAAATGTATCGCAGGTTTCTAAAGGAAATCAAGAAGAGAAAGAGAGAGAGAAGCAAAAGCCTTGTGAAGCCGTATTGTCTTTAAAGCAGGCTATAAAGAGGGTCAGCGAAGAAAAACCTTGTTTACCATCCATTTGTTTATACTCGTTTCACAATGCTTTCCAAGGTTTGAGTAGTGTTGATCTGTGGCCTGAAGGATATTTGCTGGCGGGCGGTTTTGAAGATTCGAGTGTTAGGGTGTGGAGTCTGTCATCGTCATTATTAAAATATAAAACCGGAAGTTTTATTTCTAGAGTACCTCTTGCTTGTGATGAAAGTGGTCCGGAACAAGAAACCAAAGAAAATGAAGTAGTGGTGATGAGAGGACATGGTGGACCAGTTTACAGTCTTGGATTTGCACCTCAGAGCAACGTTCTTTTATCTTGTTCGGAAGATACCACGGTGAGAGCGTGGAATCTGTCGACGTTTACGAATGTTTGCTTGTATAGAGGACACGGCTATCCTGTCTGGGATATAGACGTTGGTCCGTTGGAGATTTATTTTGCCACTGCGTCAAGAGATCATACGGCAAGAATTTGGGTGTTAGATAGAAATTTTCCATTGAGAATATTAGCAGGTCATAATTTAGATGTAGATGCAGTGAAATTTCATCCCAATAATACTTACCTAGCCACTGGATCAAGTGATAGAACTGTAAGGTTATGGAGTATCCAGGAAGGTAAAATGGTCAGGCTTCTCACAGGACATAGAGGAAGCATATTTACCCTTGCATTTTCACCAAATGGGCAATTACTTGCATCAGCTGGTGAAGATAGAAGGATCAAAGTTTGGGATCTTGCATCTGGATCACAAATCAAAGAATTAAGAGGACACACGGATACGGTATACAGTCTCTGTTTTAACGGTGACAGTTCCTTGTTAGCATCTGGTGGACTCGAGCATACTGTACGTCTCTGGGATGTGAGAACATCTGTTAGTCATAGCACTCACAGTTCATCATTAGGTGCAACAACTGAAAGTAGAACTTCACCCGAACTTTTAGCTAGTTTTCCAACAAAATCTAATTCTATACAAATGGTTCAATATACCAAACATAATCTTCTCATGGCAGTTGGTATGACAACACCAGGAATATCTTGAGAATGGTATGTTAGAATTTGATATTGTAATTGAAGAGAAATGATCTGTAAATATAAAAACTTTAATTTTCAATTGTATGCATAACAAAAGTTTCTAAAGTTTGTTGTAAATTTTTATACCTAATTAAATGTTATTCATTAAACTTATGTCTTTACTTATTTAATATTTTTAATTTAAATAGACAAAATTATTTTTTCAATTTTCATGTGAAAATGAAAATGCTTTTAATAAACACTTCATTGGTTTCTAAAGTATATTTAAAACATGATCTAATACTTAAATATAAACAGTAACCTTCTCTTTTTTAAAATTGTTCTTGATCTTACAAGCTCGAAAAACAATTTTTTAATATAAAATTGTTTTCTAAAATTTTGTCTATAGTAAGACTAAACTAAAAATTATGGATAAGTTAAGATATTAATGAATACTAAAGTTTATTTAATTTTTTCATTGCAATAAACTGATTTTTCTATGTAATATATCAAATTGTTAATAAAGCATCAGTTTTCTAAATACAAATTTTTTGTCATAGAAGAGGCAAATAACTTATGACAAAAATAATGCAATAAATTTGTAATCAATAAAATTAATACAAAATTTAAATTTTATTAATCTGCATTACGGTATACAGGATTATCTTTTGACTTTCTCTCTCTCTCCGTAATTTATTTTTTAAAACATGCTTTTCTTTTTAATAAAGAATTGCATAATTGCATCTGCAAAAATTAATTAGCAAGATATATTTAATAATTTTCGTACTATGGAAACTGATTTCAAGTACATAAATTTAAAAAACTAAGAAAATATTTGGCGATGTTGTATAGCTTGGTAAAATTTGACATGTATGTAAATTTTATAAACAATTGTCAAGTTTTGCCTATTACTCTCATTGAGATTTTGATTTTTTTAGAAAATTATTTTATCTCCTGAAAGTGAAATTTATCCATATTGGAAAGATATGTCTATTCCAGTATATCTCAGGATTTATTTGTATAATATTACAAATCCTATAGAGATAGAAAATGGAATTATACCAAAACTGGAACAAGTAGGACCATATACTTTCAGGTATGATGTTTTAAGTTTTATTTTGTTAGATAAATTTAATGGTTAGTAGGCATTAAAATATATCAATTTTTTTTTTAGTTATGAGAACTGTTAGTAATATAAATTTTAATTTTTTCAGAGAGGAACGACACAAAATAAACATTAAATGGAATAATAATGGAACAGTATCTTACCAACAAATCAAAAGGTGGTACTTTGAAACCAGTATGAGTAATGGTTCATTAAGTGATTCTGTATTTACATTAAATGCTCCAATGATAGTAAGTTTTTTGATTGTGTTTTTATGATAGAAAAATTCTTTTTTCCCTCAAAATTTTATTCTGAAATGTTCAGAAGGTTTACAAACTCTACTCTCTAGAAATTTAACATCTTTTTATATAATTTTTATTTTAGGTATTTGGAAATAATTTTAAAATAATTACAAAGAGTAAGATATAAAAATAGCTATCCAAATGCCTAAACACTGGATTTTTGGATTAGAAATAATTAGCTTGAATTAACCTAAATTTTGTGATTTATAGTACAGATAATAGATTTATATTCCAAAAATGATAGCTGCTATCATATTTTTGGACTATAAATTTATTATCTATACTGTAAATCTATCTATTTATCTTGATCAAAACAGGCCTTTTTAAATAATCAAGAGTTTAGATAGATAAACTATGCTACAACTCTATGTAAATAAGTAAAAACAAATTGCCCAATTTTTATAGCAAAATCTAATTAGTTATTTATTTACATAGAGCTGTATTAATATAGTTTAGTTATGTAAATTCTTGTTGATCAAAACAGACCTTTAATCCAAAAATAGTACTTTAACTTTGTAAATTCCTACTGTAATCCATTATATCATATTCAGAGAAATGCTTAATTCTGGAAACCAATTTGAATTTTTTATTCAGTAATATTTTTGTTATAAGAACATCAGTTGTGAAAATTAGAATGTTTTTAAGAGAGCATATCCACATTTGAACAGTTTCAATTTTAAAATTTAAAAGGAAAGTTAGTTATTCAGAAATTAATAAAATGAAGTAAAAAAATAAAGAGGAAATTATAAAATGAATTAAAATAGAATGCACTAAAATGTTAAATGCAGACTTGTGGCAACCCACAAAATGACCTTAAACAAAACACACCCCCTGCATATCAATGATGCTTCTAAATAAAGTTGGAAAGGACTTTTTGGATTAAAAAGTAGTATAATAAGTGTCTAAAATATCAATCCATCTACATACTAAGAAAAGAAGTTATGGGCAACTATGCCTCTCTCAATTAGATATTAAATTTGAATAAGAAAGGATTTCCTTACAATATCTTTACTAATCCAAATCTCTTCAATTAAAAACAGTTCTGAATTATTAAGTAATAATTTGGCAGACTGACATGCCTATTTTTTAATATTCCTCTCATTCTTGTAATGAAAAAAAAATAAGTTTATTGGGCTACAATTTGAAAAAAATTGTAGACCTGTAAATTCCTACTGTTATCCATCCATTGTCTGTCTATCTTTCCTTAATCTCAAGAACAGAGTTAGATGAAAGACAACCAGATATGGAAACTTTAGGGGCAGGAGGCCTCAATTAATTATATATGAACTTCTGATGCAATCTAGAAATCCATGTTTTTTTTCAATTCAAAACTCCCCCTTCTGAAAGCAATTAATAGATGACTGGCACAACTGTATTGTTAAAGGAAAAGTATGATGTACAGGGGCAAGCTGCCACTAATTTGAGGTGGAGAGCATATATTTTAAGTTAAATAAATTGTCACAATGCTGGGCTGCAATTTTTAATGTCACAATTAATAATTGCTCATTCTTTGTAATTTATTATATATTAAAGAAATAAATTTTTGCACTGAATTATTAGAGAAATATCTAATAATTTTTAGTACAAAGTTTTTAATACATCCATAAATCATCATCAAAAATTAAGATTGTAGAAAATTTTAATCTTAAATTATCTTACTTTTTTTTTTTCTATATTCTTATAGTAAAAATCTCCAATATTTTAGAAGAAAAATTTTAATGACTTATGGAATTAAATTTACTTAACCCTTGTCCTGATAAGCTATTTTTATAACACAGATAAGATGAGTTCAATAGACTCTGCATTCATTCTTTGGAGTGATATACATTTTTCTTTTATTTTGAACTATATTATTAGTAGAAACATGTTTTTATTATTATTATTCCTTTTGATTAATCCATCATGCCAACAAATTTTACATGTATGGCATATAAATCTTTACTGAATGTTTTATGCAAAATACTGTATACAGTCAGTCATCAAAATGTTGTTTTTGCATTTGAGACTTGTTTGTAGGGCACATGAAGTATTATTTATTTTTGTGGTTTTTTTTTTTCCTGCTAGAACAGTGTATTGGAGCTAATTTGTCTTATGGTGCTCTGATCTTGTATTTTATCGTCAAATCCAATGCATTGCAAGACTCTTGAATGATCAGTGTCTTGTAGTATCTCTGGAAATAGGAGAAGTGTAAAGAGTGTCACAAAACTTTGTTACTTGTGTTGTTGAGTTTCAGATGTTTCACCGTAAGTCTTTTTAGACTTCTTACTGCATGAATGGTTGAATTTGTACTATGTCAGTTGGTTCTCATTGGTGTCTCAGATAATGGTTACTGTATACTCATATAGTTTCCTGGTTTGTAAACCAAACAATTTTGTAGAAGTACGAGTATCACTTGTATAACATGGTTATGTTCTGAAAGTTATGTGAATCTATACTATACAAAACAAAAGACTAGTGCAAAACATAGGATTAGGATACAAAAGATAACTATTCTTTTTGTTACTAAGAGAGATATTTTTATTAAACCAACCAATCAATAATTAATTAGCAATCACAATTAAAAGTACTGTATTGTGCATTAATATTAATTTTACTTAAACGAGGGTTTTTCTTTTTACAAAGTATTGTTATCTTCTGAGCTCTTCTGTTGATCTGGATCAGAAATATCTTTTTATGGATGACAAAATTAAAAATGCTATTGATCAAAAATTTGCTCTAGCAGGTAGCATTTTGTTCAGTCAAGACTGAGCAATTTTTCTCCAGAATTTGTTTGAATACTGAATTGTTAGTGAGAACAGTTCGAGTATCAGGATAATGCTGTAATTTGTTTGTCATTTTATGAATAATTGCTTATCATGGTTAAAAAGAACTTAATAACACTTGCCTAAAAATGTTTAAATCAATTTTACTAAATACAAAGGTTAATCTATAAGAACAAAACACAGTGACAGTCTTAAAGCTAAAGTCTGAAAGCAACAATGACACTTGGTTGGTAGTGCAGTTTTTTCTTCTTTGTCCTAGCTTTTCTATCGGTTTTCATTACAGTAAACCTTGCAAAAAGCACAAAAGAAATTAAAAATTTCAATATTGTAAAATCCATGGGCAAATTTGAGACACCACACAATTATTTGAATAAAACTTATTGAATAACAGAGTTTGCACTTAAATGTGAAATTTTATATGATGGATTTTTCCAAATTCTCGAACTATGTTAGAGCAAAACTGGAAACTGTTTTGTTTGGGTATTTCCCCAATTTTTGAACAGTATTAGAGTGAAACTGTTTTAAAAGTGTCGTGTTATACAAGGAATACCTATATATCAGAAGTTGCAAATAAGTCAAAACTGTCAAGCATATCCACAACTTTTTTCCAAGTTGCAGAATGAATATTTTACATTTGAACTATGTTTGGAATGTTTTCATTACTAAAATTGTTTTTTTAATTTTGCTTAATCATTAAGTGTATCATTAAAGTGAAATAAACTATTTAAATATAATAAATCAAAAATCTTATTTTTTCTNAGGTATGTATAATTGTATATCCATCACACATTTTATTTTAACAAGTAAGTTTTTATAATTTTATTTTTAATTTTAGCCCTTATATTATGGCTAGCAATTTAGAATGTAATTGTGATATTGAAAATTTATTTCAAAAAGTTTTGGTTCGAGACCATATAATGAAAAAGAAAACATTATTAAAAGAGAAAGACCAATGCCTAAATTAAATATAAATACGTCAACAAAAGAATTTGTTCGACATTTTCACGATAAAATTTATGAAGATATAAAATGGCTTTGTGGATGCATAAAAATGCAAAAATTGTTTTGTTGGCCTTGCCTACTATTTTCAAATAAAATTAATGTGTGGAATGAAATTGGCTTTGACGATTTAAATAATTTGGGTAAAGCTGGCAAAAGACACGAAAATCGTAAATCTCCATCGATTCTTTCGTAAAATTGAAGCAATTTGGAAATCAAAATAGAATAGAATTTAACATTAGTACAATATAAAATAAATATTAAAAATTATAACAAGATAGTTACGGCTAATAGATATACAGTATTTTAATTAGTAGATGTTATCGAAGCGAGAATTGGCATTTTTAGAGGGCGTATAGAATCTATTAAATCTAATATAAGAGAGTTAATTATATTGAACTTGCTTATTTATTAAGTGCGTTAGATAATCTATTAATTAAAAATACATTTAGAGAAGTCTACGGTTTTTACAGGCTTATCGAACAAATGAATACGAATGGACCCTAGACCATCATTGACTGATTGCTCCTAGAAATCGGCTTCTTATAGAAACACAGCTTCCCTATCATCAAATGTCACGGCACGCCACTGGAATCCAGTATCCTCGTTCGTTTTTTAACGCTACCTCTGCCTGCCCCTGCACCACACCTGTAATCTAAGGTCCCTAGACATGGTCCAAATTTAAATTTCGCTATTCTTAGGTACAGTAATGATTTTATAAAAGATTGGTTTGGGACTCCAGGCAATTCCCTTTTTTGTTCTTAGGATAACGCACCACTTTACTGCCTCGGCCATCCGGCCGGTAATATCAAACGTTTACAAAAAGTGACTGAATTTTATTATTACTCTAAAAATCTAATGCAAAAAATGGGATTCTGAAGCAAAAAAAAACTGGTTTTATTCACCTCTGTTTTCGAGAATTTTTGTAAAAGAAATTTCCCATAGGAAAAGCAATAATTTCTTACTTGAAAAACCTATCCCATTTTTTGTCTATAAGTATTTACAATAATCCAGTTCAAGCTCAATATATGAGTATAATTTTTAACGGCATCTGCTAGAGATTGCACCATAAATAAAAAAAGAAAAAAAATTACAGTCAGCCCTAATATTAAAAAACTTGTAGACTAATCTTTACGACAACTACAAATAAAAATCTTTTTCAAGAATTTTCTAATATAAAAATATTATCACATTATTTAGAAAATTTTGCTTTGTTTTAGATCAAACATATTTATTTATTTAATTATTCTCACTTTAGAGAAAAAAATATGGAATTTTCATTACGCGAAATGTTCGGTACTAATTTAAATAAAGTTACCAGCTATCAAATTTTTCAATATTTCGTTATACTACCAATTATAAAATTTCAGTTATAAAGGGCGGAATTAGAAACATTAAAAGACATATTTCCCCATAAATTATTAGAATTTATAATGGTGACGATATGCATTGAACGATAGTAATTACAAATTAATTTGAACGGTTCCTAATAGATGGCAGAAGTGCCAATTATAATAAGGGGAATGAATGAAAAAGAGGAGCGTACCGTATGACTTTGTAGTTAAGAAGTGTCGTTTCAGTTATTGTGATATAATGAATATTAATAGCAAATATCTAGGTTTTGTCGGAATATGTTGTATTGTTTTTGCTGTTACTGTGTTAATAGTATTTCCTCATTTATATTGGAAAATAACGCACGAAGTAAGTATTTATTATGCATTATATTTAGTTTAAAAACTTTCTCGTTGGTAATAAAGCAATTTATTTTTATTTCAATCTAGCAAGCTTATTATAAACATAATAAAAATCTGTTAAGTGGTCATTTATCTTCCATTTTATTTTTTAATTGATATAATTATTAGTTATATTATTATTAAATACATTTTTATGTTACATTTAAATTATTATTATAAAAATATTTTTTATAATAATAAATACATTCTTCATTAAGGAGCACGTATTTGCTTTCTTAAAACTTAATTTTTACATTTAAGTCATAAATAATTATGAATACTTTAAAATTCTTTTCTGGCTTACTGTAGATTTTTATCTTGTTTTTGCACGGATTAGAAATGAAGTGTTAGAACAGAAACAGCAAAATTGTTCAAGTGAAAAGTTTAATTCGCAGATATGTTTATATTCGATCAGGTGAAATGAGATTTGAAGCTATGAAATTTAAAATCATCTTCAATATTAAGCGAAATAAAAAGAACACTTATTCCGAAATGAATAACAAATGTAACTTATTTTGAAGATTTGATTTTTCGAGGAATATGATTGAATGAATGTAACAAGTTTGAATTTGACAATAGGATAATTGACATAAGATATTTTTACTGGTTTTTAAGGTCTGAAACCAATCTCTGGTTTTTCCACACGAAAAATGTAATCTGGAAAATGCATTAACACGTTCGAATGTAATCTGTATTACGTTCGAACGTGTTTAATGCATTTTTCCATCCTAATCGTAAGATAACAGATAAACGAAGCCTTTATCTCTAGGATCATAATAATCACCCGCAGGTTCCACAATGTGAGGTCTACAATTAGAAAATTTTAAGTTTGTAATAAAGCAAATGCGATATTTAATGCAATATTCTATAAAAAATATATTGGTTTTTGTATGTTTCTTTACATTATCATACTTGAATCTAAAACAATTTCAGATAGATAAGGTATATTTTCGTGTAGCTAACTAAATTCTGGTTATTAAGCTACATTTTACATCACTTTTTGGTTTTGTTGTTTCTGGAGAAATGCTTTTGTTTATCCGTTAGCGAACGGCATTCTGTTAGTTTCTTTGGCCGAATTAATAAGCAACTCGACGAATTGTTTGTTAAAGTTGAAAAGATCTGGAGATGTAAGTCTATAAACAGATATCATTTAGGTTAAAGGCAAAGCTGGTTGATATGCGGAAAGCAAGTTTATGACTACTTTAAACTGCTAAGTTTACTTTCCTGGTTGTTTGTTATACAGAGGGAAAGTATGATGATCAGGCAAAAATAAACCCCCCCTCCGCAATCTTCACATTTTTGGACTTAGGGCACTTTGAAACGTCGAGAAATGAAAAAAAAAAAAAAAATTTCAGGGGTAATTTCTGTATGTATGGGTGTGGCACGACTTTGTTCACCTTGTATGAAGCTTAATAACTTTTTTTTATCGAAAATTTCTGAAATTTTGCAGGATTTATTTTTAGGGAGATTGATACTATTAAATTTTGGTGGTTTAAAGGTCGAGGTGGGTGGGGAGATAATGGGGGGTCATGTGTATCTTCAGTAGGGTCGGACTCATATTTTCAGATTTTTAGGGCTTTAATACCTGCTTATTTTGCTGTTTTCTTGTCTTAAAAATTCAAGCCATAGTTATAACATATAAATTTCTTGTATTTATATAAATTTATACCTATGATTCTGAAATGCATTTTGAAATATGACTCAATGACGATTAAAAAAAAAGTAATTTTTATGTTCGTATATTACAGCCCGAAAACTGATAGTTTAGTTAGAGAAAATTAACTTTTTTTTTTTTTTTTTATTTCAACCAAAACTTGAAATACCTGAACGTTTGATAATCGGCAAACGGTAGGAATTGTCGCAGGAGGTAAAGCGTTTGTCTACAGATTTTATACTTATTACCTTTTCTAATTATATTCTAAGTTTGTAAGTACATTTATTCTGCTAAAAAATATTAACTCTAGTATTATAAGAACATTTCAGCATTTCTATAAACACTTCATTATCTTTTGAAGGTGTGTGGGCCTTTATATAATGTTGACGAATTATGCGATTACACGAATTATTTTCTTAAATCCTAATCTCGCTTCCATTGATTATGTGGGTGACTGAATTTACTTATAAGTACAATACAGTATTAACTCGCAAAAATAACCTAAACTGAAGTCTAGACTGTGTTATTTTAATTTTTAATGATAGTTTTTAGCAAATTTTTTTAATCATTGTATGAATTCTGATATTACAAATATAACTAGATGTTCTCTAAATAAATTTCACTTGTACAAAATTTATTGAACATTTTATTGCTGAAAACATATTTAAAATAAAATAGTTTAGAACACCTGTTTTTTTGTTCGTTTTAAACACGTTTTGCACCTGTGGGCAAAAACCACGTGATTTAAGATAGCAATAGCAGCAGTTGTCTGATGATGATAATGTTAAATAATTACTCTCGGTCTCCTGACTTCAGAGCAATTGTCACAACTTACTTGTCAGACTAAAATATTTAAAAAGTATAATTTATAATAATTGATAACAAAAAATACATTAGTTAATTTTGTAATGAAACTGCCATTCACGTTACTACGTCTATAAAATCTGTCTTTTAGTTTATTTTTCACTCTTGATACTGAGGGCTCTTTGTGCCCACTTATAATTTTTAAGTAGATGTATAATGGGATGGCCGGGTGGTAGTCGGAGCCCGACATATCCAGGACAAACCACCGTGAAAAGTTCCTGCATTTTCCTGTGGATTCGATCAGTCTTCCAGAGTCGGCAGACATGCCTCTGCCATCCTTACTTAGATATAAAAATTTGATGGTAGATGAGTTTCGCGTTAGTACAGTCTGAAGTTTTTTGGTGTTTACAAATATCATAAGCTATGGTGGCCGCGGCGATTAAGACGTCTCGGCCATCCCGCTAGACTTTTTCCGCTCTGCGTGACCAAAGAATGAATCCGGGCAAATAAACCCAGGAATTTTCAGACTGTTTCGGATATGTCGAGTCTCGTTCCTCATCACTTGGCTACCCCACTGTGTGCTTGGCCGAACGCACGATGAATTTTATAAAAAGGTTCTCTTATTAGTGCTCACAGGATGGAGTCAAAAATGAAAGTCTACATTCAACGTAATGCGGAAATAATTTTTGTTTTAAAATATTTTCAGAAAAAAAATTTAACGGAACTAATTACCATCTCTTTAATTAAATCATAATTATTAATGTTTTAAAAGTTTAAAATTTGAATTAAAACTAATGGATTAGGTTTTATTTCTGACTTTATTCGCTAGATGGCAGTGGTATCGTGTCTTTGGATAGCGTAATGGCGGAATAGTTGAACTGAACGTGAACTACGATAGATGCCTTTAAACGATGGAGCACGCCACTAAGATGAAAAGCACTAAAAATGAACAGGCCATATCTACGGTTGGGCGCTACCTAAGACGACGGCAATACAGTGATAACGAAGTTTTCAAGAAAAGCGATTTTAAACTTCATCAACCGATTGAAGAGATGACAATACAAGGCATGGTTTGTGCGGAAACTGGTGTTAGAAATGCCATATCTTTCAGCAGTATTAGTGGCGATGCTACTGCCATTGATCAGCAATACACTCGCCTAAAAGTTTTTGTAACTGAAGCGTCCGAACCATTTAAATGTGAATTAACTTATGTTCTATTTCCTATGTTTGTTCACCTCTATTTAGAATTGATCAGCAATGGGCAAAAGACTGCTGCTCAAAAGTTTCATTCCCGACATTCCGGTTTATTTGCAAACGTTCAGAATTATAAGTTAATTATTTCGACTCTGTCGTCCATTCAGACTATGCAAGATCTCTCTACGCATCCCACCATAAAAGATTTTAGAGAGAATAAACATACTATTTGTTTGTGCGAAGATACACTGGAGTATCTGATGAGATTTTTGAGAGATACGGATAATATCATTCTTCTTCAATTGTTTAATCTTTATATTGATGTAGAAGTGAATCATAGGGATTACAACACTAAGCTTCATCTCTACGACGATCGTCAGTTAAATGTATCGCAGGTTTCTAAAGGAAATCAAGAAGAGAAAGAGAGAGAGAAGCAAAAGCCTTGTGAAGCCGTATTGTCTTTAAAGCAGGCTATAAAGAGGGTCAGCGAAGAAAAACCTTGTTTACCATCCATTTGTTTATACTCGTTTCACAATGCTTTCCAAGGTTTGAGTAGTGTTGATCTGTGGCCTGAAGGATATTTGCTGGCGGGCGGTTTTGAAGATTCGAGTGTTAGGGTGTGGAGTCTGTCATCGTCATTATTAAAATATAAAACCGGAAGTTTTATTTCTAGAGTACCTCTTGCTTGTGATGAAAGTGGTCCGGAACAAGAAACCAAAGAAAATGAAGTAGTGGTGATGAGAGGACATGGTGGACCAGTTTACAGTCTTGGATTTGCACCTCAGAGCAACGTTCTTTTATCTTGTTCGGAAGATACCACGGTGAGAGCGTGGAATCTGTCGACGTTTACGAATGTTTGCTTGTATAGAGGACACGGCTATCCTGTCTGGGATATAGACGTTGGTCCGTTGGAGATTTATTTTGCCACTGCGTCAAGAGATCATACGGCAAGAATTTGGGTGTTAGATAGAAATTTTCCATTGAGAATATTAGCAGGTCATAATTTAGATGTAGATGCAGTGAAATTTCATCCCAATAATACTTACCTAGCCACTGGATCAAGTGATAGAACTGTAAGGTTATGGAGTATCCAGGAAGGTAAAATGGTCAGGCTTCTCACAGGACATAGAGGAAGCATATTTACCCTTGCATTTTCACCAAATGGGCAATTACTTGCATCAGCTGGTGAAGATAGAAGGATCAAAGTTTGGGATCTTGCATCTGGATCACAAATCAAAGAATTAAGAGGACACACGGATACGGTATACAGTCTCTGTTTTAACGGTGACAGTTCCTTGTTAGCATCTGGTGGACTCGAGCATACTGTACGTCTCTGGGATGTGAGAACATCTGTTAGTCATAGCACTCACAGTTCATCATTAGGTGCAACAACTGAAAGTAGAACTTCACCCGAACTTTTAGCTAGTTTTCCAACAAAATCTAATTCTATACAAATGGTTCAATATACCAAACATAATCTTCTCATGGCAGTTGGTATGACAACACCAGGAATATCTTGAGAATGGTATGTTAGAATTTGATATTGTAATTGAAGAGAAATGATCTGTAAATATAAAAACTTTAATTTTCAATTGTATGCATAACAAAAGTTTCTAAAGTTTGTTGTAAATTTTTATACCTAATTAAATGTTATTCATTAAACTTATGTCTTTACTTATTTAATATTTTTAATTTAAATAGACAAAATTATTTTTTCAATTTTCATGTGAAAATGAAAATGCTTTTAATAAACACTTCATTGGTTTCTAAAGTATATTTAAAACATGATCTAATACTTAAATATAAACAGTAACCTTCTCTTTTTTAAAATTGTTCTTGATCTTACAAGCTCGAAAAACAATTTTTTAATATAAAATTGTTTTCTAAAATTTTGTCTATAGTAAGACTAAACTAAAAATTATGGATAAGTTAAGATATTAATGAATACTAAAGTTTATTTAATTTTTTCATTGCAATAAACTGATTTTTCTATGTAATATATCAAATTGTTAATAAAGCATCAGTTTTCTAAATACAAATTTTTTGTCATAGAAGAGGCAAATAACTTATGACAAAAATAATGCAATAAATTTGTAATCAATAAAATTAATACAAAATTTAAATTTTATTAATCTGCATTACGGTATACAGGATTATCTTTTGACTTTCTCTCTCTCTCCGTAATTTATTTTTTAAAACATGCTTTTCTTTTTAATAAAGAATTGCATAATTGCATCTGCAAAAATTAATTAGCAAGATATATTTAATAATTTTCGTACTATGGAAACTGATTTCAAGTACATAAATTTAAAAAACTAAGAAAATATTTGGCGATGTTGTATAGCTTGGTAAAATTTGACATGTATGTAAATTTTATAAACAATTGTCAAGTTTTGCCTATTACTCTCATTGAGATTTTGATTTTTTTAGAAAATTATTTTATCTCCTGAAAGTGAAATTTATCCATATTGGAAAGATATGTCTATTCCAGTATATCTCAGGATTTATTTGTATAATATTACAAATCCTATGGAGATAGAAAATGGAATTATACCAAAACTGGAACAAGTAGGACCATATACTTTCAGGTATGATTTTTTAAGTTTTATTTTGTTAGATAAATTTAATGGTTAGTAGGCATTAAAATATATCAATTTTTTTTTTAGTTATGAGAACTGTTAGTAATATAAATTTTAATTTTTTCAGAGAGGAACGACACAAAATAAACATTAAATGGAATAATAATGGAACAGTATCTTACCAACAAATCAAAAGGTGGTACTTTGAAACCAGTATGAGTAATGGTTCATTAAGTGATTCTGTATTTACATTAAATGCTCCAATGATAGTAAGTTTTTTGATTGTGTTTTTATGATAGAAAAATTCTTTTTTCCCTCAAAATTTTATTCTGAAATGTTCAGAAGGTTTACAAACTCTACTCTCTAGAAATTTAACATCTTTTTATATAATTTTTATTTTAGGTATTTGGAAATAATTTTAAAATAATTACAAAGAGTAAGATATAAAAATAGCTATCCAAATGCCTAAACACTGGATTTTTGGATTAGAAATAATTAGCTTGAATTAACCTAAATTTTGTGATTTATAGTACAGATAATAGATTTATATTCCAAAAATGATAGCTGCTATCATATTTTTGGACTATAAATTTATTATCTATACTGTAAATCTATCTATTTATCTTGATCAAAACAGGCCTTTTTAAATAATCAAGAGTTTAGATAGATAAACTATGCTACAATTTGTTTTTACTTATTTACAAATAAGTAAATAAGTAAAAACAAATTGCCCAATTTTTATAGCAAAATCTAATTAGTTATTTATTTACATAGAGCTGTATTAATATAGTTTAGTTATGTAAATTCTTGTTGATCAAAACAGACCTTTAATCCAAAAATAGTACTTTAACTTTGTAAATTCCTACTGTAATCCATTATATCATATTCAGAGAAATGCTTAATTCTGGAAACCAATTTGAATTTTTTATTCAGTAATATTTTTGTTATAAGAACATCAGTTGTGAAAATTAGAATGTTTTTAAGAGAGCATATCCACATTTGAACAGTTTCAATTTTAAAATTTAAAAGGAAAGTTAGTTATTCAGAAATTAATAAAATGAAGTAAAAAAATAAAGAGGAAATTATAAAATGAATTAAAATAGAATGCACTAAAATGTTAAATGCAGACTTGTGGCAACCCACAAAATGACCTTAAACAAAACACACCCCCTGCATATCAATGATGCTTCTAAATAAAGTTGGAAAGGACTTTTTGGATTAAAAAGTAGTATAATAAGTGTCTAAAATATCAATCCATCTACATACTAAGAAAAGAAGTTATGGGCAACTATGCCTCTCTCAATTAGATATTAAATTTGAATAAGAAAGGATTTCCTTACAATATCTTTACTAATCCAAATCTCTTCAATTAAAAACAGTTCTGAATTATTAAGTAATAATTTGGCAGACTGACATGCCTATTTTTTAATATTCCTCTCATTCTTGTAATGAAAAAAAAATAAGTTTATTGGGCTACAATTTGAAAAAAATTGTAGACCTGTAAATTCCTACTGTTATCCATCCATTGTCTATCTATCTTTCCTTAATCTCAAGAACAGAGTTAGATGAAAGACAACCAGATATGGAAACTTTAGGGGCAGGAGGCCTCAATTAATTATATATGAACTTCTGATGCAATCTAGAAATCCATGTTTTTTTCAATTCAAAACTCCCCCTTCTGAAAGCAATTAATAGATGACTGGCACAACTGTATTGTTAAAGGAAAAGTATGATGTACAGGGGCAAGCTGCCACTAATTTGAGGTGGAGAGCATATATTTTAAGTTAAATAAATTGTCACAATGCTGGGCTGCAATTTTTAATGTCACAATTAATAATTGCTCATTCTTTGTAATTTATTATATATTAAAGAAATAAATTTTTGCACTGAATTATTAGAGAAATATCTAATAATTTTTAGTACAAAGTTTTTAATACATCCATAAATCATCAAAAATTAAGATTGTAGAAAATTTTAATCTTAAATTATCTTACTTTTTTTTTTCTATATTCTTATAGTAAAAATCTCCAATATTTTAGAAGAAAAATTTTAATGACTTATGGAATTAAATTTACTTAACCCTTGTCCTGATAAGCTATTTTTATAACACAGATAAGATGAGTTCAATAGACTCTGCATTCATTCTTTGGAGTGATATACATTTTTCTTTTATTTTGAACTATATTATTAGTAGAAACATGTTTTTTATTATTATTATTCCTTTTGATTAATCCATCATGCCAACAAATTTTACATGTATGGCATATAAATCTTTACTGAATGTTTTATGCAAAATACTGTATACAGTCAGTCATCAAAATGTTGTTTTTGCATTTGAGACTTGTTTGTAGGGCACATGAAGTATTATTTATTTTTGTGGTTTTTTTTTCCTGCTAGAACAGTGTATTGGAGCTAATTTGTCTTATGGTGCTCTGATCTTGTATTTTATCGTCAAATCCAATGCATTGCAAGACTCTTGAATGATCAGTGTCTTGTAGTATCTCTGGAAATAGGAGAAGTGTAAAGAGTGTCACAAAACTTTGTTACTTGTGTTGTTGAGTTTCAGATGTTTCACCGTAAGTCTTTTTAGACTTCTTACTGCATGAATGGTTGAATTTGTACTATGTCAGTTGGTTCTCATTGGTGTCTCAGATAATGGTTACTGTATACTCATATAGTTTCCTGGTTTGTAAACCAAACAATTTTGTAGAAGTACGAGTATCACTTGTATAACATGGTTATGTTCTGAAAGTTATGTGAATCTATACTATACAAAACAAAAGACTAGTGCAAAACATAGGATTAGGATACAAAAGATAACTATTCTTTTTGTTACTAAGAGAGATATTTTTATTAAACCAACCAATCAATAATTAATTAGCAATCACAATTAAAAGTACTGTATTGTGCATTAATATTAATTTTACTTAAACGAGGGTTTTTCTTTTTACAAAGTATTGTTATCTTCTGAGCTCTTCTGTTGATCTGGATCAGAAATATCTTTTTATGGATGACAAAATTAAAAATGCTATTGATCAAAAATTTGCTCTAGCAGGTAGCATTTTGTTCAGTCAAGACTGAGCAATTTTTCTCCAGAATTTGTTTGAATACTGAATTGTTAGTGAGAACAGTTTGAGTATCAGGATAATGCTGTAATTTGTTTGTCATTTTATGAATAATTGCTTATCATGGTTAAAAAGAACTTAATAACACTTGCCTAAAAATGTTTAAATCAATTTTACTAAATACAAAGGTTAATCTATAAGAACAAAACACAGTGACAGTCTTAAAGCTAAAGTCTGAAAGCAACAATGACACTTGGTTGGTAGTGCAGTTTTTTCTTCTTTGTCCTAGCTTTTCTATCGGTTTTCATTACAGTAAACCTTGCAAAAAGCACAAAAGAAATTAAAAATTTCAATATTGTAAAATCCATGGGCAAATTTGAGACACCACACAATTATTTGAATAAAACTTATTGAATAACAGAGTTTGCACTTAAATGTGAAATTTTATATGATGGATTTTTCCAAATTCTCGAACTATGTTAGAGCAAAACTGGAAACTGTTTTGTTTGGGTATTTCCCCAATTTTTGAACAGTATTAGAGTGAAACTGTTTTAAAAGTGTCGTGTTATACAAGGAATATTTATATATCAGAAGTTGCAAATAAGTCAAAACTGTCAAGCATATCCACAACTTTTTTCCAAGTTGCAGAATGAATATTTTACATTTGAACTATGTTTGGAATGTTTTCATTACTAAAATTGTTTTTTTAATTTTGCTTAATCATCAAGTGTATCATTAAAGTGAAATAAACTATTTAAATATAATAAATCAAAAATCTTATTTTTTCTTTTTATGTAAAAATAATTATTAATTTAATCACTTTTTTTTAATCTGAAATTCTAGAAAACTTTAAAAAACATTGTTTTATAATTCTTTTCTTTTTAAAATTTATTTAAAAAGTATGAGTTGAATATAATTATTTTTATTTCACAGATCTTAGTTTCAATACTTCAACAAAATATGCCAGAAATAGTGTTGAAAATTCTAACAAAACTCTTAGAAACATTAAATAGTAATTTGATAATTTCAAGATCAGTTGATGAATTACTTTTTATGGGTTATGCAGATGATCTTTTGCAGTTACTAAAACATCTGAATTTATATCCTGAGAGAGAATTTGGTTGGTTCTATAAGGTATGTCTTAGAAATGGGTAAGCAACACAACTGTCTATTTGTATTATATACTATCAAAAGTATTTGAATTAAATCTTTTTCCATAATATTAATATAGTTGTGTTGTTTACTTGTCAAATAGTATTAGAAATAAGTAAGATTATTTATATATTAAAGTGTGTTTTCTTCAATTAGCAAATATTTTAGTATAATTCCTTTTTGAAAAAGTTTAGAAACTGTCATTAAAACTGTTGTTGAAATTTTTCAAGTGAAATACTATGTATGCATATGGAAATCTAAGTTTTAATTCAAAAAACTTATTCACTATTCACTAAAACTTATGAAAATATTCACTAGATGAAACACCTGTTTTCATAAGTTTAGAAAGTTTCAACAATCAATTTCATAAATTTAGAAATTAATTAGTGAAACATACTTATTGTTGAAATGTATCAAAAATGAACAAAAATTGTTCAGTACTTTGTTGGTTGCACTTTTAGAATGAATAACTGCCTTCAGTCATTTTGGCATTATTGATGTAAGTTCCCTATGCTTCTCAGATGAAGCAGCAGCCTAAATTTCTCAATTTTTTTGTACAAGTTTGCATCAGATAGTTTTTACTATTTCTAATTGGTTTTTAATCTCTCCCAAAATATTTTTAGTTGGGTTTAGTAGGTTTGAATTAGGTGGCCATTTAAGAACTTTTGATCAGCTTTGTAAGAGTCTGAAGTTTCTTAATTAAAATTAATGTGCGATTAATTAAGTGGAAAAACCCCAGTTTTTCCCACCACCTCATATTTCCGTCGAACGTGGATCTGAGAGATAGAGGATCAAATCTCATCACAAATCAACAATCTTTACGATGTTTGGACTTATTTTAAAACCTTAGTCAAAACATTTGATTATTAATGATAGGAAACTGTCAAAATGGATAAAATTATGGGGTAAGAAGAGTCACAACACTGGCTAGGAAGTATCAATAATTTGGCTGAATTGTCTAGTTCTTGACAGCTCATCTGCTGAACCAGAACAAGCTCAAACTTAGAACACATTAAATCAGACATCTGACTTTTCTCCCTTGCTCAAGGGAGGATAAAAAGGGCTCAAACTCGAGCCTTGGGATGGACATACCAGGAAATCTGTAGACGACAATGGCTTGTTTGCCATGTTCCCAGCTTTATAAAGGATCCCTGACAAATGTAGAAGACATCCTCACACTCTCTCAGATGTATTATTTTAGAATATTTGTAAACACACTCTTGGTCAATTAGCCTATAAGGACGTAGATATAAGGCTTTATTTTACTCCATGAACATAATATCGAACATTATGTTGCATATAGCTGTCTGTAATTGTGTATGCTTTAAATTAGTTTATTAAATTGTTGGTTAACCTGCTCTCATGTGGACTTATTAGTGAGGTTGAGGCTGAAGTTTTAAACGTGAAAACGTGTACATTGGACTCAGCACCACTTTCCTGTAAGCCTAGAAGTTTGACAATGGTGTTTGGATAGTCAGTGGAATCGTGCTTGACATTCCAAACATCATTGTCAAACTTCTAGGCTTATAGGAAAGCGGCACTGAACGTCCGACGTACACATTTTAAAACTTTGGCCTCAACCTTGCTATTAAGCACCAACATCCTATCAATGGATGTATCACCCCTCTGTCACTTGAGTCAACCATCCAGTGACAAAGTGAGCAGTCTTGACAAGACTGTCACCGATCCAAAGGGGATTTAAACCGGTATCCCCCAGTTTTTCACAAGATAGTTTTTACTATTTGTAATTGGTTTTAAATCTCTTCCAAAATATTTTCAGTTTGGTTTAGGTTGGAGTTAGGTGGCCATTTAAGAACTTTTGATCAGATTTCATCAAACCATTTCATCACTTATTTTGCTCTGTGGCTAGAGGCATTCTTGTTAAATAATTACATCAAAATTGTATTTCAACTGTTGGGATTAAAAAAAAACTCAGTAACTATATATCAGCATTAGCCTGTAATGATACATCCAGCATCATGACTTTTGTTGGGAACTTTACAGACTGTTTTATACAGTGAGGCTGCAATTCCTCACCTTTCTTCTGTGTTCTAATAACGTAACTCTTGATCTCAAAAATTAAGATAAAAATGGATACATCACTCCAAATCTTATTTTTCCCAGCCACCTTCATTTCAAGTGAGGTGCTCCTTTGCCCACTTTTTTTTCTTTTTGCTGGGTGAATATAACTACTGACTGGTAGTTGGTCATGGGTTTATGCCTCATCAACGGGCTGGTCACATGGAGTTTTCAGAGTTTTCTTCATGTTTATAACACCTAAATAGGGGTTAGTTTTTCATAAGACCTTCTGGGAGGCATTACCTCTTGTCAGATCACCCAAGTGTTGCATTGCCATAAACAAATAAACCAAAACAAACCTTTATTTTTTTAAGAGATTAAATCTTCAGCACTCTAGAATGGAATTCTAAATCTTGTAATCAAAGCTAGATGATTGTTCTTGATATGCTTTTATTAATGTTTTTGATCCAATTTGCAATGAGGAGCTGTTGACATGAATGTTATCTAGTACAGTCTTTAATACATTAATGTCACCTTCTGGTTATTTTTGGACTACCTGATTGAATCACAAACCCAAAAATCAATTGTCTTCCTGTATTTGTTCCAAACATTTTGAAACAGCTGATTTTGATGTGTTTAAATCCTTTTGGCAATATCTATTGAAAAATCAATATAATTGAATTTTTACCCAATTGTCTTTGTTCAGAAATCTTAATTTTTTTTCTATTCTATTTTAAGCTGCTTAGATTTTCCCATAATAAAGAATAGCAAGTGTTTGACACAAAAATATTAAACAAAATATGTAAACTGCATATTATTGCATTTCTAAATTTATGGAACACTTGTTTCATCTAATGAATAATTTTGTGATTAAAATATGTTTTAATGCATTTTGTAATATAATTCAAAAAAGTTTGTTTACTCAAGGAAATAAAGTTAGATTTCTATATGTATAAATAGTATTTCAATTGTAAATGTCAACATAATAATAATGTTTCTACTAACTTACCATTACTAATATTTTAAGTTAGTAGAAATGTTTAATGAAATTAAGGGCAAAAAACAATATGTTGGTATTAAAAGAATAATATGCCTATATTTCAGTTGAATATGAATAAACAGAATTTAACTGAACAAATATATACCAAATATCAATATTTAGTGTACATAAGAGATGGAATGAAGGTTGGCCATTGAAGATGCTACAGTTACCAAACAGCATTAAAAAAAATGCCATACAGAGACATGTTAGAATCATAGAAGGGATGATTCTAAAGTCATTAATTACTTACAAGAAGTAAAATAGCTGTGGAGTTGGAGTACATACTTAGTAATTGTGTATAGAACTCCTTACAACTGGCTTGGTTATGAAAACATGAAAAAGAGAAGTTATTGTATTGCACTTGAGATGATGCCAGTTTCTTAATTGTGATGTCTTTGTTGTTATTTTGGCCTTTATATATAACTTCTGTTTATTTTATCTTGTGAGTTTAATTGAAACACCAAGTGAAGAGACTATTTTAAAGTCCGAAATGCATTTTGAGTATATTTTACATATTTTACAATAATTAAAACCAATATGTATAAAATTATCTTATAAACTTGAACACAATTTTTTAAATTAAATATACAGGGTGTCTCAGTTAAATGTTTCAGAACTTCTAAGATGGGCAGGGTGCATCCTGACGACTCAAAATTATATAGCAATGCAGGGTCGGAAATGCTTTTCTGAAGCAGTGACGTACACAGAAACAGCTAACCTCTGGTGCAGGCTTGCAAAGAAATTGTCTGGGAATACGTCTCATCGGATATTGTTCTGTGTACAAGCACTGTGCAGCTGGCCCACTACAATCTGCAGGCTCATACAGCAAATGCATATCAGCTAACTCTGTCCTTGTGCGAAATGAGCATTCCCTGCAAGAATGCTCGGAACTTTCACGCAACACCATCTACCATGTCAAGAAAGCATTTCCGACTCCACATTGTTATATGATTCAGAGTCATCGGGATGCACCCTACTCCTCTTAGAAGTTCTGAAACGTTTAACTGAGACACCCTGTATATTTAAGTTCACTGGTGTGATAAGCCCTAACATAAAATAACTTTTAAATTAGTAGAAATGTTTAATGAAATTAAGGGCAAGAAACAACAATATAATAATAATAGTTTTAATAAGTTTAATAGCAACTCCTTTTCAGAAGTTTATAAAGTTTGTTTTAACATAATGCAAAATATTAAATTTATTTTTAGAAAAATAATAGTGATGATGGGATATTTACTATATATACTGGAAGTACAAATATAAATTACAGGGGCATGTTAGACAAATGGAATGGTGTAATGTAAGTTTTTTTATTATACAAAACTTTTTGTAACATAGGTAAAATATAACCTGTGTGTTGAACTTAGTTTTTATTATAATAACCATATTAGATTATTAGTTATATATAGATTTAGATGTGCTTTTTTTTTAAAAAAAAATCAAGTAATAATTCAATTTGCATGATTTTTTTACAGTAATAGTGTCAAATATGATAGAAACTGTCTAAATTTTAGCAATAATACAAAACTAACTAAAACCAGAAAAATATGATGAATATATTTTTAAAATTTCTAGAATGTATACAAATTATGATAGTTCTTTCTTTTTTTTTTATATATTTCAATAAATTTTTTTTAATATCTTACAATTATATAAATTGTTTATAATGCAATATAAAACTTGCAGATTCCAGAAGGCAGCTAACTCATAATTCAAAAATAATTAAATATTTAAGTACTTTTTATTAACATGTGTAAGATGATTTTATTGATGGTCCAATAAACAATATAAGATGGTCCAATAAACAATATTTACCAGTATAAATTGTTTTTGAAATTTGAACAAATTTTTAATTTGTTTTTGCCAATGGGAGGGATTAAGCCCCTGTAGCCACCTTGGATCTACCCCTGTAGTAGATTCCTGATTAACCAGCCTGTATTAAACTGAAATTCTGTCTTGATAAATGAATGGTTAATTCATTCAAAGATGTGTAAAGTATAAAATTAAATGTTTACTGTTTATCATACAAATGTTATGTACTGTACTTTCTAAATATTTTTATTTTTTAAAATTTATTTTATGAAGCAAAATTATGCTAATTTTTTAATGGATTATATCGTATGATATAATTAATTGAATAGCATATGAATATTGTCTTTCTGTTTAAATTACTTCATTGTAGTTTCAAGTACTTCTTTCCCTCCAATTGGCTTTCCTCCCCCTCTGTACATAAAAAGAAAATCAAAGCTCAAAAGTTTTTTCTTGATTAACATCTTTCTGAACTTTTAATCTGTTAACACTTTATTACCTAGAATATTGCTAAATGCCATTTATCCATGTTTTTGTTTCTTTAAACATAAACATCTAGAAACTGGATTTTTAGATTAAAGTCAAGTGATTGCCAAATTACATTGGTCTATATCTATACTAATAATTACTAATTTTCAAATAATTTGACTTAGAAATATGCATTAGGTGAAATTTAATAATTTAATTCAGAAGATTCTGGAAGAAAAGAATCAGCCTGAAATGGGACTCAAACCTACAACTCCTACTTCCTGTGAAGATGTGTTACCAGTTATGCTGTTTGATCGTCTGTCTGATATTTGCTTCCAGAACTATTTAATTACCATACCGGTTACTTATGGTACCATATTATTACAAGTGGCATATATAATTATTTAATTATTAATTAGTATTAATATAGCCTGATGTAATCTGGCAATTGTTTGGTTTGTTTTTTCCAAATCTTTAAACTCTGCTTAGTAATTGAAAATTGTTTGAATTCTAATTTTTTTTTTTCTTCTTAGGCCTGAAGACAATTTGAAACCCTCACAAGATGATGTAATTTCTGTATCTGGTAAATGAACTTTTCTTAACAAATGATGTATGTATATGATCACCCAGTATATATAAAGTATCTTATTCAGCACTGTCTAGAGTTTAGTGCAAAATCTCACATTTTATTTGTACAAAACTGTCTATACAAAGACCTTTAGCAAGGGAATACTACTCATTATGTCCCCATTTTTCAGATTTAAAACTTGAAGTCAATAGTGTGTTCCATGACTAATTGTAGTTGATCTTTGGTGTGATGCTTCAGACTGTGACACTTCTTTGTAGTGTACCAAATTTGCAACATCCTTACACATCCTTGATAAACCACACTTTAAGTGTCTCCACAACCAATAATCACACGGATTAAGATCTGGAGAACGAGATGGCCTGGTAATAAGAGACAATTAATCACTTATCAGTGAAATGTTGTACACAGCATTTTATATGTGGAAGTACTTCATTTTGAATAGAAGTGGTTGATTTAAGGCACTCATTGTTACAGTTGGGGTATGACAAAAGTGTTTGTCATATCCCAGCAGATGCTATATTCCAGCAGATTCCTTTGCACTTGCCGTAAGTTACCTTATGGCAAGTGTAAAGGAATCTGCTGGAAAACATGAGGGATTTTTGTGGCTCAAATGTAAGTTACAAATATTGTTTCACTAAGATGAAAATGTGCCTCATCACTGCAATGTCTGATTTTAAATGCTGGTTGTGGCTTACCTTGTATAGATAATAATGCACCAACTTTCTCTACCTTCCACACTGTGCCATAGGATCACCCAACTGCAATAACACTACACTTGCACTATTAGAGCTTGGAACATTATTTATTGTTGAACAACTGTGGTAACATCAACAATTTGAGAAGTGATAGGCTTGCATTCTTAACTGGGTTGAACTTAAACCAGATTTAACAGTCCATATGCAACCAAATCTATAGACAGCATTGAATAGTTGTACTTTGATTATTCAATACAGACAGCCTAACATTGGATTGTCAGATAAATTCGTTCATTTTTTTTCTGTTTATTTTAATCTTTTAATTTTAATTAAATCAGTCAATAATACGAGGTCTGTTTAAAAAGTATTGGACTTTTATTTTTTCCGTGTAAACCAATGATGCGCGGGAGGCCTCCTTCGGTGGAGTTGTGGAGGGGACAGTCATGCACAGCCCTGAACTTTTTCCCGCCTGCAGGAAGCGTCGGTCGTTGGCAGTTGGCCTATGAATGAGGACATGTAGTGAGCTCTCGTCGGATTCCACTAAGTTGGAAAATGACTGAACGTGAGCAGCGATATTACATCAAATTTTGCCAAAAACTTTGGCGATATCCGAGCATAAACCATTCAAAAGATTCAGCAGGCTTTCGGGGTCGATCCTCGAGGCTAAAAAAAGCGTGGCAGGTCCGCAGCAATATCAAGGTCATGTTAACAGTTTTTTCGACTCTCGTGGGGCGGTGTATCGTGAGTACACACCACGAGGCCAAACCGTCGCAAAGGAGTACTACCAGGAGGTCCTTTGTCGTCTTTCCGATACAGTGCGACGCAAACGACCGGATCTGTGGTCGATCAAAACTTGCCAGCTCCATCGTGATAACGCATCCATCCATGTTGCGCATCTGATTCGGGCTTTCGTCGCCAAACACAACACTCCTGTGGTTCGTCATGCTCCGTACTCTCCCCACATGGCTCCGTGTGACCTTTGGCTATTTCCCAAGCTGAAAATGCCACTAAAAGAAACCTGATTTTAGTCGAGAGAAGACATCGTGAGGAATGCGACGGACCGGCTGAAGGCCATTCCAAAAGATGCGTTCCATCAGTGTTTCCAGCAATGGCAGGAACGCTAGAAGTGTATACACTACCAAGGAGACTACTTTGAAGGGGATTAGGGTTTTGTACCTCAAAATCAATAAATGTATTTTTGCCGACCAAAGGTCCAATACTTTTTGAACAGCCCTCATATATTTTTCATGACTTAAATGTTTCACTAGTTTGTCAATGCCTTGATGATATAAATCACCATACCTTGACAAATTTATCAGGCCATGTTTTCAGCTCTTCATTTAATAAAATACCTTGCTGACTGTTAGTGAGTGGAAAGGGTGGTGATCTGAAGGTGTTAGATCAAGTGGGTGTGGTAGAACTTCCCAACCAAGCTCTTAACTTGGGTTTGGTCAAATTAGCAATGTAGGGGTGAATTGTCATATTGAAGCATGCAATGCTACTGGTCAAGTCACTTTGGTTGGATTGCCTTGTTGAGCTGATGCATTTGCTGAACATAACAGTGCACACAGCTATGCACTGTTATGTTTTTGTATATACACAACTATGTACAGCTATGATTTTGTAGTTTTCAAGTACCTCAAAGGATGCAGCTATGGCTTGCTTTGAGGTGTTACTTACTTGTTGGAACTATTCTACAGTTATTCTTTCCTCTGCTTCATATTGACATAAAGACATCATTTTTTATCACTGGTGATGATGCAGTAAAGAAATGTATTTGCAAATATAAACAAACATCTGTAAGCTCAATAGTTACATTAAAGCCAAATGATTGCTGGATTAGATCTATTATTACTGCTATTAATAAATAAATGTAAAGTAATTATGCATAGAGGCAGGCATTAGGTACTCCCTCTTATTGATTTAATTATAATAATTAAATTTAACCTGTCCATGAGTAACATGGTGTCAAGCAAGAAAACTGGCAGTGATAGGATTACTGGAATTTTTTTCATTTAGTGTGTTGCATCCATGCAGATTTTAGATCTTGCTCATCAAGTGAAGGTGATGGGAAACAGTATTACAAGAGCATCCCATCTGCTGGGGAATAATGGATTTCATCTATGGGATCTGCACCAATCTCTAGTGTAGATCCATAGAAGAGCTCAATCAATTCTCATTTAACTGAATAGAGCAGCTGGAAGACAGTCTGAGTTTGAATTTCTATTCCTTGAAGCAGGAAAATCATTTCTATGCAGTTCTTTCAGTAATAACACCACCTCTGTAAACAACACAATGTCTTGAGCAGCTTTGGTAACTTTGGAACCTTGATTTGAGAGTAAAGTAAGTGTTGAAAATGCTTATTTTTGTCTACTTGGACTTCATTCTCATATGTCTGAAAAGAGGTAAAATTTAATCAAATTTAAAAAAAAACAAAAGTTGTAGAGTAAGAATAGAGCTAAAAAAATCATAACACTATGATAAAAATATTTTTTGTTAATTCAAATAACATTGGAAGAAAGTGTGAATGTATCTGACAACCTAATACATTTATCTAAAAAAAGTAAGCATAATCCACTCTGCAGATAGACAAAAATACACATTTTCTGCTGTTTTTTGTTTCCAGACAAAGATACCTTAGATCTAGTTGAATATTCCATTTAAAGAATTCAACTATATCTAACATATTTTTATACTCATTCTTGGTAATGAAAGGAAGTTGAAGCAAAACATGCAGGCTCTTCTACATAACTACAGTAGTAGCATGGCATTGTTTCTTTGGATGGCTTAACCATTGAGGACAATTCATTACTGTTTTACTATATGACAAGTGACAGTGACGACAATGACACCTGGTTAATAGGAAAGTTAATGCAATTTTTTTTTCTATGTCCTATCATTTTTCATTAAAGTAAACCTGACAAAAAGCACAGAATAATTTGAAAATTTCAATATTCTAAAATCTGGGAAAATTTGTGACAATGTTCATGCTTACTTGAATAAAAATAATGAAGTGTAAACTTAAAATTTTCACAAATTTTAAGTGTAAAGTGTATGGAGGATTTCCATACAGAAAACTGTTAGAGCAAACCTGGTATTCTATGCTCTTCTGACTAGAGCTCTAAATACTGCAATTTTATAAGCAGAGGACTTCAGGTAAATAGTGTTTTTTGCCAGACACCTGGTATGTTGCATTCCATTGATCCCTGTGCAAAAAAGTGTTTTCAGAGTATCATAATCATCAATATTGAACTTTGCCCATCCAGTCTATGTTCTGTGCAATGACAAATCCATGTACAGTGTATAGAATGATTCTTATACTGTATCAGATCAGAATCCAGAGAGGGGAATTCAATAAACATTGTAGGAACATTGTGAAGAGAGATCATTTTGCAAGTATTATAGTCTGGGAGTGGTATTATAGCTAATAGCCACACTGAGCTCAGTTTTTGCAAGGAGTGCCATTACTGAAAGATAGAGATGAGGTTTTGGAACCCCATGTGAGACTTTTTCAAGGAAGGTAGGTGCAGATTTATTTTTGTAGACTATAATGCCTGTACACATAGTCCAATGTGCATTTTGTCAACTTTCATCAAGAACACTCCAAGAACTTAAAGATGCTCTTGTTAAAGAATGGACTTTGTTCCCAACAGAGCTCATAATTGTTAGAACCAACCTGACAATTGTGGTGTGTGTGCATGCGCACACACACGCAGCCATATATCAATTTCTGACAAATGATATTGAAAAAGCTTTGACAATGCTTAGTACCTTCTTAATGTTGTATTATCTTGTTTTAGTATCTTGTATTTGACATAATTTAGATTAAATTTTTGCTTTTAAATTTTTGTTGCATAAAGAATAAAATGTTCTGCTTGCATATATTTATTGTTTTGGTCATTTATTTCCTGAGATAAAGCTCAAGTTAATAATTATGCTTATTCTTGTATATGGATATGTGAATTATATTTTTTTTTAACTTAATTGTTTTTTAAAAATTAAAGTTTTATTTATTTAATACTGTTCTTATAAAATAAACTTTTGTTTGTAAACTTTTATTAACATTTATGAACAAAATTAGATTAAAAAAACATTAAATTTACATATTTTGAATTAAATTGAGTAATTGATTATTGCACATTTTTAAACAATTTAAAAATGTAAGGTTCTTAAAAATATTACATTTTTAAATAGTTTTATAAAAATTTAGTTGTAATTGATTGAAAATTAAATGAAATTTTTTATTATTGCTTCAGCTGGAGAGCTTTGGTGTCCAAGTTTTGAAATTGTTAACAACATTAAAATGT